ACTTGCAACATACTGTCAAAGATGCAGTTTGTGCATCTTGCACTGGTGGATCAGACAGTCTTAAAGCATGCATAAACAGTTTAGCGCATCAGTTTATCCCAATATGGTCTCTTGGCATCTTTACCCTATGCAGACCATAAAGAGGCCCTCTTGTACAAGTCCACGTCTGAGCCATAATAATAATGTTATATCATGCTTTAATTGTATTCCCTACAATAACTGTTTATGTTCTTTGTGATACGGGTGATTACTGATTGTGAAACTAAATGGCGTGCAGTCGGCGTATTAACATTCATTCACTGTAATTTAGAGCAGAAGGTTTACAGTAGAGATTTCTTTCTAGATGTGAGTTACTGAAAATAAGCAGTTAACTGAGCCATTCGTCAGCTTGAATCGCAGTTGTTTTGGTCTCCATGTGGTATCACTGTAGTTGCCATAGCCTGAACTTGTCGATGCAGTTTTGAAGAGGCTACATGCATAAGCTCTGTATTGTTAACTGCAGTGTATTCCGTTAACATAAAACTATAAATTCAACTTTAGGCATGTAGTTGTGATGGTTAAGGTTAGCGAATGTAATAAGGTCTGTGAGGGTCCTCACAAGTATTGAGGTACAAAAGTGCGGGTGTGTGCTGTAGCGTTTATTTATGTAAATTTGAAGATGCTTCTGTTTAAAAATGATTTGTGTGAGTGTGTATGTAAGGACGTTTATACTTATAGGTGAGTGGGTGGATGTGTATTACAGTTATGTACAAAGTGTGTGATAAACGCTGGGGTATGTATGTTCATGTGTGTTAGCAGTGTTACTGTAGTGTGTATGCGATGAAATTAACCAGAAGCATCCAAACGTCTTGGAGGCATGTATGATTGTGTGTTTGTGTGTGGGTACTCAATCACCATTTGATGCCGCTCTCTAACCACTCAGGGCCAAACAGAAACTAAAAACCCAGAGAAACACAAACAGAAAAAAAGAAACATACTGCTGAGGCCAAAATTACAGATGCCTTAGCTTGAGTGTGCTTTTTTTGCGCACGTTCCTTTTCTTCTGTTTTTTGGGAATGGATATGTGTCCTATGTTCACAGGGTGTTAAATCAACATCATTGGAGTTTGGGTTTATTCTGAAGGGGGCCAACAATCACCAGGGTCATTTTCATTTTCAATCTACCATGGCCCATTTATCCCCAACCCTCCTCCTGCAAACTGCCTCCTCGTCTCTATCTCTTTTCTTTGTCTCCCCCTTTATTCTATATTTATAGCCCCTTCTATTTCTGCAGCTCTTGTTTCACTTTCTCTTTGCTTTCTGTTACATTGCGGGCCAGAATTGACTCTTTGAATGGCTGCTACACACTGCATAATTATTGACCTAATTTCCAAAATATGTGCTTGTCCTGTAAATTGAGATCCTGACCTCAGGCCTGGTTAGGACCAATGGCCATCAATAATGATCTTGCTCCAGCACAATTATTATCAGTGAACTTGACCTGAGCTATCGTTCTGACATCAATCATATCTGATATTTAAAAAATCTTGATGGTTTACAGGACCTCTGGCTATTGGTTCTATTAGGGTACTGTTAAATTCATTTTTATTTGTTATCCTGCTATTACAGGCAAACTCAAGTTTATTACAACTTAGTTTTGGCCTTTTCTATCTTCTTATCTTTTCTATCAGCTATGATATTGCACTTACCATCTTAATTGCTGCTATCTGGGAAAATGGAAATGTTGCTACAGCAAAGGCGCCCTAGTGGGCTTGGGATTTAATGGGCAGATCTTGAACCACACTTTTTTTGCAAGTCATTCACCATCTCTCGCCCTCATTGGATGGGACCAAATGGACCAAAAAATGTAATAATCTTCACAAAAACATTGACATTAAGGTGCAGCAGGACAAGAAACACAAGCTGTCAGATGATCTGACTTCTTTTTTGTGATGTTGCTCAGCATTTAATATATTACCAATAGAATTAATGGGTAAAGCTACAAAAATAAAAGCAAACTAATCATTCTGAATTGTCTTTTACTAGGAGTAAAAAAAACAATCCTCTGACTGCAGACACTGACAGTCTGCTGTTAACTCACAGCACTGATCAGTAAGGGAGCCCTGGAGCCATTTAATGGGAGACTGACAGACACCTACCCACAGAGGGACGGAGATTCCCCAGAGCCCCTCAACAGGGTGACGAGTGTGTGTGTGTGATGGGTCGGTTACTGTGGTTGTTAACAGGGGCCCCTAATCCTGGGGCCAGGCTCTAATCCTGCCACCGGTCTGCTGTGGACTGTGACCCTGATGGCACGTGTCTCTAAGTACCAACTCTCCACACACACACACACACACACACACACCGGCCTGTTACACCTCAAAGCTGAGGAGACACAGCAGCTGAGACAGCAGAGGACCCCATTCAATTGAATAAACACATACATACACCCACACACACTATATGGAAACACAACACACAAACATACACTACACAAAGTCAAATTTGCACAATCCAGTAGAGACAGATATGCATCAACGCATACAAAAATGCACACAACACAACCCGGAGAATGCTGTAACACACACACACACACACACACACACACACACACAGACAGCTGACAGTGCCACAGTAGCCTTACAATAACAAACAGTTGAGCTACTAGAAATACCAGAGCTAGAGAGGAGACTGGAGGCCTGGAAACTGAAACCAACACAAAACACATCCTGCAGATTCCAGCAGCAAAGAGAACTGACTGAAAAATGACAGACATTTTTATTCATGTGAAACTGCTGGGACTGGCCAATCAAATCCTTGATTAGTGCCCGTGTGCTTTGTAGGGCAAACCTCTGATTACAGTCGTACAGTTTAGAGCCAATTACAGTCATTTGTGATTGCTTTGAGATTTAAGTCACAACAATCAAAGTTTTTCAGCTGCCTAAAAAAAAAAAAAAAAAAAAAAACCCAAAAAAACGTACTGTTAATTTTCAGGCACAGCAATGAAAAACTATAAATAAGCATCTGCAGATTGAACTACAAAACACAACTACTATTTCACTGTTCTAAACTGTTTAGCTTTGTTTATTTTCACTTTAAACCAGCTGCATAACAGAAATATACACTTAGGGATTTAGAAGATATTTTTATCACCTAAAGCTGAACAAAAGATGCAAATAAAAGTGATGAGGTCCTTTTCCACACAGAAACACCACTAGTTATTTTTCTTTGGGGAACCGGGGGGTAAAATATACAGCCTTTTATAAAAGCAACAGCAGCAAGGAAAACCAGAGCTTCCCTTGAGCATCTGTTTAAGAATATAAGCACTAAATAGAATTATCACAAAGACCTAAACCCCATAACTAACCCCTACTTTCTGATAACATTGTCCAATGTCGGATAAACGCAAATTCAGTCAATAAGTTTCTGCTTCTGTAACTGAACAAGAAATCAGCCAGGTAGTGACACTACTTGGAGTTAAATACTGTGAGTGTTCATCACTATTCTGCAAACCGCTTCTTTTTACATCAAAGTACATGTAAAGTTATTTTACCACAACACGAAAGACCCAAAATATATGCCATGTTAGGCCTTACAAAAGGTAAAAATGGTGCTATAAAAGAAGCAGAAAATATTTAGCACCAGTGGAGCAACATTTGGTGGCAAGCAAAAGCCCAGACTCTCCTTCAAACAGACCAGAAAATACAAACTGATCTGTTGTCCCTTATGTTCTGATACTAGTTGTATTTGAACACACCTCAAAGACTATAGCCAACAGTGCATTGACCACTGACATGTTCAGCACCTGCATCTGAGGCAGCAATAATATTTTCATGACATTCTTTAATTATACAGTGAGAGCGTGATTTACGTTGAGCTTGTGGAAGAACAAACTGCACAAATCACAGATTCACTAAGCTGAACAGTCAGTCTAAACATGCTCTCAACATGCTGAATCATCCAACTAGTCAACGATGTCCATGCTATCCTACTTTTAGTGCACATCAGGGCCCAAAGGGCTAAGTGAATAGACCAGTATTTGGCAATGTGCATGCAGTTGGTATAGTTAGAGTAGTGAATCAGTAACAAGGTGTAACTGCAGAGTGGCCTTTCACAGAGGTCGTGTATGTGGTTGGGGACGTGAAACGGGTAGTGGAAGGTAAAGAAGCAGAGCAGTATATGGCAGTAGGCAGCAGACAGGCAGGATAATGGAGCAGTATCTGGCGATGGGCAGCCAGAAGGCTTGGATGGATGCTGAATGAAAGAGGAGCTGACCGGTTTGTTCCACACTTCCCTTCCACACCGTTTGCTTAGCCAGCGTGGGCCACCTCTTTAAACACACAAGTCACTGCACAAAAATACACATTTACTTCACCGGGCGGTCCTTTGGACAGTAACACAATAACACAACCCCACTGCAAAGCACCCATAAATCTACTTAATGGTGCGTCCAAAACACCCACGACACTAGTAAAAACTTAAAATGTGCCAAAAAAGACGAGGTCAAGAGAAATTTCTTTGCCCAACATGAAAAGGCAAACTGTCTCTCTTTGTTTATTATAAATAAACCACCATGTAGAGGTCAGAGGGAAAAAATGAACAAGAAGAAAGGGTAAAGCAGGACACAAGGAAGCTCTGATGGAAATGTGTGAGACAGAAGAGCCTTCACTTTGGATGAATAACCTGAACAGCGACCTCCCTGATAGAAAGATATGGATGGATGGAAAACAGGACATATAGACAGACAGATGTGGTGAAGTGAAACAAAGTACATCTGAGAGCAATGCATCTGCAGGTTTCCTTTTTCATAATGCAGTTGAAAAGGAAATGAAAGACCGATTTCTTCAGCAAAACAAATGTAAAACCGATGTGACCTGGACAAAAATCACACTTGAAATAAATGTGCAACAAGAAAGCCCAACTACAAAACTGGAGACATTAAATCCCTTTTTTAAAAATCTTTACGTAACCTGCATATACTCTGAAAAGGATAAACACATCAATGATGGACAGGATACTCACTGTGAAGAAGAGGTCCATGACGCGGGTGTCCAGCAGCGCTTCCCTCCAGGTCTCCGTAGGCTTGAGCGTGACGTTCTGCGTGGCCTCGAACATGGCGATGTAGTGTCGCCCCAGTGACCCGTCGGCAGTTAAGGCCAACAACAGCATGAAGACGAGGAGGAGGAGGAGGAGGAGGAGGAGGAGGAGCGCCACACTCAAAAAACACCAGCTCCTGTCACTAAGCTCCCTCTAAATGGGTATTTTGGTGTGTGTGTGTGTGTGTGTGTGTGTGTGTGTGTGTGTGTGTCTCTCTCTTTGGTTTCTGGCTGGCAGCAGAAACTTGTTAGCTAACTATCCCTCTCATTAACGCCGTCAATCTTTATTTCTTCTCACCCTCCCCTCTTTTGTTTTCTTGTCCTCCCTTTCTTCTCTTTCTCCCTAGTCAGCTCTTCATCTGCCACAGCTTTCACCGGCAGTAACTCTTGCCTTTTTTCTCACCCTCTTTTCCACTTTTCCTCACCTCCTTACTGTTTTCTCTGCCTTGTTCCGATCGTTACCCTCTTACTCTCTCTAATTCCCTTCTTGTCCTCTTCTTCACCCCTCTTCCTACCAGCACTCCCTTGTTGTGCACACTCTGATTTCTCTCCTCTGCTTCCTCAAGATCTTAAACACACAAGACTGGATATCACTGCAGCCAATCGAGACACCGCGTTGCTCTGCCTCTTTGTCCACTCCTCTACAAGACGTCCTCGAGACTCCTTACTGCCCTGAAACACTCCCTCTCCCTCCTCAGCCAATCACTTTGTCTCTCCTCCCGACTGCTTTCCAAGACCAAAGCAAGACTCTCTTTTTGCCCCAATAACATATCCTTCACTTTAAACCTCCAACACACACTTTCTCTCTTCTGCCAATTGGCACTCTCTTCTCCCTCTTGATCACTTTCCAAATCTTTTTCTTTATCCTAACAAGATGCCTTCTCTCCTTGCTCCCATAACCCACTTTCGCCTGATTTAAAACTTTGTCTAACCCTTTCTCCGTGCGCCCACAAGACAATGTCTCCTTTCTCTACACCCACAACAAGCCTTTTCACAAACCCACAACACACACTCTCTCCCCACGCAGCCACAACACTTCCTGTGTTTCAAGTCTCCTACACACACCCACATGTGTTTTCCTTAGCTCATCAAGAGCAATCCCCGTTGCTCCTTCCACTCTCCCAAAGGAGGCTTTTCTCACTCCTCACCCTTACAACCACACACACACACACACAGACTCTTTCCTCAATCAAAGCATCTTACAAACCCTCGCTCTCCCGTTCCCCTCTCTCCCAAAACTGTTTTTCTCCTTGTCCTTACAGCATATACAGTTTCCTGATGAAAGCTTCATGCTGAAACAAGTCAGCAGATTTGTCAGCCTATCGATTACAAATAAATGTACCCAAAAGATCAACACATGAGGGGATTGTTTTTCCATTTTTGTCCTCTGGAATGTTGGCCCTTTTCCTGACTTTGTTTTGGGGAAATACAAACACACAATCTCTCTTCACTCATGACAAATGATCAAAAATCTTTTTCCACACACTGTCTTCACTTTTCATTCACAGAGACTCTTTAACGTGTAAAGATCCCCTAATTGACCCTTAAATAGCTTTAAGTTTAGAAAAATCATCTTATTCCACTCAATCATTTCTGCTCTCAGCTCAATCCCATGTTTTTATGGCTGCATATTTATATTAAATGGAAATATTTTAGATATTGTTCATCATTTCATTAATTTGTTTCTCTAAATTTTAACCTGATTTATTTGGTATATTTTATGTAACTGTTTTGTAACTTTTGAATCTCCAATGACAATAAAATAAAGTTCTGTGGGTTTTAATGGCTGCACAGCAGCAAGTACATAATGACTGACCACTGGTTGATCAGTGAAGTTTTCCAGGAGGGAGTTATTCTCCTATACAGGATATTGGATAGAAGATTTCTAAATACATCAAATATGACTCTCTTTCAATCACCCACACAAAAAACATAAAAACACACACAAACCGATATCACTGCCCTGCGGCTCAGTGACAGCAGAAGAAGAAACTTCCAGAGGAATGTTTGATCAAAGCCAAACAGCGGCAGAGGCTGTCGAGGTCATGCATTCCTCCGACACCAGCCCACAGTCACTCCCCATGCACACACCCCACCACAACACACCACACCACACTTTTCGGCACAAAGGTTGGCACCTGTCTAAGGGCTGTGTGTGTGCGCATCCAAAGCCTTGCTTTCGGGCCTTGTTAAAAATAGTCGTGGTGAGGCAGAAGACCTCTGTCTGAACCTTTGAGAAGAGAGAAGGAATGAGAAAGAGATTGGAATAAGTAAGGAGGCCGCTGCAATATGACTAACTGCATGTTTACTTGTTTTATCCCAGTGTTTAACTATTTATTTCTGACGGGAAACTATCCTGATTTCTTTTTAAAAACTTTCTTTATTCTTTCACTTGCTTTTAACTACTTAAGCCTGCAACTTTCATGTTTGTCTTGAAGCGGTTTTCACAAAATTAACCAAGTTAAATGAAAAGTTATAAACTGACAAGGGATTTGCAAGGTAAAAGCAAAACATAAGAACAGAGAGAGAAACAATGGAAAAAATTAGTGAGTGCATATTCGGTTCTGCAACAAGTGGGACTGACCAAGTCCTTCTGCCTGCAGACGGAGGCTGTCTACGCAGGGAGGGACCACCTCGGTGACAGAGGTTGTCCAAACCCTCCTAAAGATCATATGACTGAGACAAAACTCACCAGAGACCTCAGGAATGATAACTACCCAGCTACTTCAACTATTTTACGCAGCCGGACAGAGACATAAAATGGGACCGACAGGTTGTGACAGCAAAAATATAGAAACTCTCTAAATAACGGAGAAAACAGGATCCCTGCAAATTTCATTAACACTGATAAGAATATTTTGAATTAAGAGCTGAATATAAGAATATCAGAATAAGAATACCTGATTGTTAAGTGTTCACTCAGTGTAAGTGCAAGCTCTTGAATTCTGAGGAAAATCTACTTGCCGAGTTGACAAGTGAATTTACAACTTCAACCATGCTATCCACACAAAAAAGAAAAAAGATGGACTGCGTGCGCGTGTGCGTGCGTGTGTGTGTGCACATGCCTCCAGGATGAGTAATGTGCGCAGAGTGACTAGGACATGTGGCTGTGGTTTGGTGGGTTTTTAAAAGACATCACCTGCTACTATCTCAACCCTTCCAGCAGGCTCAAGAATAACTAATGTGACACGTCAATTTTCCACTGGAAAGATAAGAGGGACTGACAGATAAACAGACATATAGGCACACACAAACACATTCAACTGACATAATACACAGCCAAAGCAAACCACCGACCACAAGAGTATAAATTAAACACAAGTGAAAAGATTCACACACCCTTAGTTCTCACATTCAGTTGCCAAATATGCAGCCAGACAGACACATAAACACACATTGTAATATCTTAATTAAGACCAGCCACCAGTCAAACGGCAATAAAACTGCTGATGGTAGGTTTGTCTGATACACCAGTTACTTTGGCAGAGAAACAACCAGCATTTCAAACTTAATTTCCTGCCCTTATTCTGTTTAATGTGTAAAAAGTAAGCCGACTTTTTTCGGCTTCACATCTTCAGTGACAGACACCTGGCCGTCCACTATTTATGGCTTTGTATGTGAACCTTAGCCCAGGTAGTCTGCGTCAATGCACAGCTCTCCACTTCAAAGCATGATGGAACATAGTTGCAATAAAAGTCCGTCAGTCTTTCCTTCATGGGCTGTAATTCAGCGTGCAATGCTAAGCATAAACTAACCACATGACTACAAAACAGAAAATGTGGGCTGAGCCCTTTCTGAATTTTGTAAGAGAGGCTGAATTATGTGGACCACAAAACCAAACAACAAAATGTGTCAACGCCAACATTTTAATTGTGTCATCTTTGTGGGTTTGTTCATTTTGTTACCACATGCTAACAAAAATGGACTAGCTATTAATTAAACTCCAGTGAAATTTACAGACAACTTGGTCAACGCCCTCACATATTTGATTTGTGTCCCTTTGTCAGAAACCTTATAATAACAAGGGTGCTTCGAGCTAAAAGCTAACATCACCATGCTAAGACACACACAATAACAATGCTAACATGCTGATGTTTAACAGGAGTAATGCTTACCATGTTCACCATCTTAGTTTAGCCTGTTAGCATGCTAACATTTGCTAATTAGCACTAAACACAAAGTGCAGCTGAGGCTGATGGGAATGTTATTTGTTTTACAGCTATTTTTCATAAACTGAACGATTGAACAAATTAAAATTTTGACTTGATTATGGGGCTTTACGGAAAGTTGGAGGCTCACCACCAATTCTTATCACAATTCGTCTTGAGAGAGGCATGAATGTCTGTACTAAATTCCATGCCAATCCATCAAGTAAATGTTAAGATATTTCACTGGATAGCCTGGTGATGGTGCTAGATGAAAAGTCAAGGGATTTCCCAAGTTGTTAGTAGTTTCCTCAGCTTCACCATGAATGGACCATAGGTTAAAATCAAGGGCAACTTCAATCTTCAAGCACGTCCAGTTGCCCTTGATTTTAACCGTCCTTGTACATGGATATACAGTATGAACAAAATTTCATGGCAATCTATTAAATATTCGTCAAGATTTTTCACCAAAAACTCAAGATGTCCACCACATGGTGGCACTAGAGAAAAAGTCAGGGATCACCAACATCAGCAGGAAGTCATCCTCTGGGAACACTGAATCTCAGAAAAAAAAAAAAATGTAATGGCAGGCCATCAAATAGTTTTTCTGATACTTCAGTCTGGAACGAACAACCGACAGAGTGACACTGCCACCTGTGGAGCTTCAGCAGGGACTAAAAAGAATCAGTGTTTTTTGCATGTTTTAACTCCTTATCTGCATTGTATTGTATAAGACCATTTCCAAATGCAATATACAGTTTTAAATGTATTCATGTATTGCTCCTATCTTTCTAGGCAGCTGTTCATTTTATTTTATATCAGTGTTGTTTAAAACAAAGGAGATTCCCACAACAGTAAAAAAAACCTTCTGGTTTGAAAATGGTTAACTAACGC